AAGCTTATCTCAAAATCCAATAGTGGGTGAAGTGCTGCCAGCCAAAATAGCTCAGACTGGATAAATGGACTGCAAGGATCATCATCCCAAAGCAGGGGGTTCATGGGCAACAGGTAAACTGACAAAAAAGCGCCATCGAGAAATGCCAGGACTAAGTAAAAGGCAACGTCCGTTTGTCAGCTAGACTTACGAAAGATACAACCTTATCTCCAAGGTCACGTGTATGTACGGGGGCAAATGTATATACAGATCCCAAGCATGCTGGCGGGAAGGAAGATAAAGACTCAATGCCAGGCTGTGGGAAGTGTTTCATCTTTCTGCCTCCTGAGTTTCTTTTTTCAATGTAAAAGCTGTTTGGAACTGAAGTTTTCATGATAATGACAGCAGATTCCTAGGTTTGAGAGAGAGAGTGTACACACGTATTTGCATACCCATGTCCTCATGCAGCTGTGCATATAAATATAGAGCTCTTCTGCCACTCAATGAGTCTTATTTTAAATCCCAAAGGAGCATAGGAAAGCGCAAGGACCAGAGCAGGGGCTGCCAAAGACCTTATATGCCTCTCTGACTGGGAGACCTTCTGAATAGAAATGTACCACAGGGCATGGGTTTAATCTCTGACAGGCTAGATTCCCCACACAGCCTGCTGTCACTACAATGGATAGGAGAGTGGAGAGACACAGCCAGGAGTTACGATGGGATGTTTACTGCATTGTTAAGGGGACAAGGGAAAGAAAAAAAAAGTCAGCATAAAATGGACAATCTGGATGAAGAAGTGAGAATCGGAAAGTCTGAACCAATTATAGTGATTTCTGCTCTGAGATGGCAGGGGGAATTAATCCTACAGTTCCCAGGACTCTCTTTATAAGGTGTGATTCCCTACTTGTCAGTAGCCAGATTTGTAACAGCTGCAACCTTTGAGGAAGGCAAACACTGAAACTGGGATTTTTCCCAGGTTACTCATTGCTCATGAAAAGGCATCAAAGGTTTGCTGGTGACAATAATTGCAGGACTTGGGGGTTAAATTATACACAACAAAATTAATGACTAACTGTGACAGCCAGGAGCTTGGTGTTTCCAAATCCAACAGAAGCTGCAGGTCTCTGATGAAGTTTCAGAGTTGGTATCTGAGGCCTTAGTGTTGGAAATAGAATGATTGGCACAGACTGCCTCAATCTAAAGGTGGCACGAAGAGAGGAAAGAAAAGGGGCCTGTGGCTTTCTTTGCCTTTATGACGTATAAAGAGGACCTGAAAGGTTATTCACACACATACTTGGTTTTTTTAACCTTAGAAATACTCAGAACATCGAGCAAGTTTTGCTGGAGGTCTTTCTTGGAGGCTCCACAGACAGTGTGAAATTTTCAGAAACTCTCAGCATTGGCCTAACTCTGCTCCCATTTCTGTCAATGGAAGTTTTACCATTAACGTCAATGGGAGCAGAACTGGGCCAACGAGAATGTCTTCGAAAATCCCACACTAAGTACTCTCTCCGGCCTGGTCTACACCCAGATTTTACATCAGCATAAACATTTCAGGTGGGAGGTGATTTTTTAAACTGATCTATTTATACCAGTGTGGATGCAGTTTTATTGGTATAAAGCTGCTCATTGGTATATAGCTTACTTTACCCGCGTCAGCACCTCTCTACAGACATACCACCAGTCTGCACTCCAGGGATTGTACCATTGTAACTATAATTAGTGAAGGTGGCACAACTTTTGTGTCAACAAACCCTGACCTTTTAAGGGACAGGGTGTTTGAATCTCTTACAAAAGAGTTTTTCTTCCAACTGTTTGTTCAGCTGTTGGAGTTAAATAGGTGATAAAAAAAAACCCAAGCAAAAAGAAAGCATTTAAACAGGCTGAATAAAAATCATGTCCTCTCTCAGTTAATCAGGTTTCACTTCCATGATGTGTGATGTCATAAACCTGCCAGTTTTCCAATTGTCCATAGAGTCTTCCAGAAAACAGGGTAGGACAGAGTCTAAATTCCTAATTAAAAAAAAAAAAGTTGCGCTCCTCCCCCACCCCTTTAAAAAACAAAACAAAAACATGTTAGATCTTCCGTATATGCCACAAAGAAGAAAAAAGGCACCAAGTCATTTTTTTCCCCTTTGCGGGTCTCCTTTAAGAGTCCACTATAAAAGTCAAATTCTGCCAACAAGATCACAGTTTGCTGTCCTGATGGTTTGTCTGAACACTATCTCGTTTTGAATTTAACATCTCTAGCATTAGTAGAGTTTCTCTATATTCTCATTTATCTGTATTCGACCGTAATGACAGAACCGTCTTGTTTATCCATGTGAGTTCTGAGAGATTTGGTTTTTAAATCTGGGTTGTGTGTGCTTGAATTGGAACTGCTGGAGCAAAACGTCACTTTATGGTTCCTGAACTGGGGTTCACCTTGCAGCAGCACCTGCTATAGAAATGGTATTTCCGCTGCATCTTCCATCAGGCTGAGGCAGCAAGGCCATAGATAAACTTGTGCCCCTAGGGAAAGATGGGGTCTGTCTGGATTTCTGACTTGCAGCTGAATACGAGAACCAACCTTGGCCTCTGAACTCTGCCATTACATTCCACCAGAGGGGGTGAGCTACAAAAGCAAATCTTCAGTAGGTGCAAATTGCTGAATAGCTCAGCTGACTTCCTGCTTCTCTGTCCTAAAGACCCTCCACAGGGAACCTGTCCCTCAAGAGTGTCCATCTCCGGACTCTCAACAAATGCACCTCTCGGCCATCGCCAGGGTAGGTGAGAGAACCGAATGCTATTGCAGCCATAGAAGGATTTATGGATTACATCCAACACCTTGAATTGCCCTGTGCAGCGCTAAATCCTTTCTTAATCCTCTGAGAATTGTTTAGATGTTGATGGAGTCAGATTGGAGACCTGGTGTAAACAGGAACAATTGTATTAACAAGCTGCACCTAATTATTCAGGGCCTGAATTTAGCTCTGCAATTTGTATTTTGTTCTCTTGTTAACCTCCGTGAGGTGGATTAATAAAATGTCACTTCTCATTTCCAGAACATCACTCTCCTTTGATTCACCAGTTTTCTGATTCTGGAAAGCCATCAGTGTGTTATACACCTTTGTTTATCTCTGATCATTTTCATAAAACAATAAAATGTAACTGAAAATTAAGAGAAAAATTGTCCTCAAATAGTTTGCATCTGAATACAAAGGATGGGCTGCTAAACCGCTGAAAGAGTGTCATATAAAACTGTGTGAAAGTGCTAACACAGAGGGAAATATTTACACAAGTCAATCTGATACAAATGGACTCTTGCAAAACCTTATGCATATGCTTAACGTTAGCACCTCAACAAGGCAGAGTTTGCAGGACCTTAGAGAGAGATTATTTCAACTGTTTGAAATTTCAAAGATACAGGCCAATGTTTTCAAAAGCGATTAGTTATTTTGGATGCCCGAACCTGAGACAACTTAAAAAAGGAGCCTGATTTGCATAGAGCAGGTGCTCGGCCCTTTCTGAAAATCAGGCCCCTTTAAGGTGTCAGGTTGAGCACCCAAAAATGGAGGCACCCAAAATCACACGTCACTTTCTAAAATCATAGACATTAGACATATGGATAAGCAAATCCTAAACTTCCTGGATATAGAGCCTTCAACTTATAGAGAAAGGTGTACTTTGGATCTGATTAAATACATTTCCCAAGAGAAACTAGAAGCAGTTATTCAATAGCAAGCCAAGTTATATGGCTAAGATGTTGGGGGTAAGTGAAAGCATCTTTATGCAGAGTCTGTAGCAAAGAAATAACTGGCTTGGGTGGAAAGGGTTTCACCATCATGCTAGTTTAATATAGACTGGGACTCATTTCTAGATCTGCGCTGTGGTGTGCAGTCTTTTAGGGGATTAAGATTAAATTGCATAACTCCTAGAATTAGAATGGGATTGTCACTTGTTGAGGGAATCTACCAACTATTATTTTTGGGTGAAGTGGTTGTGTATTAATTAGAATTAGTGGAGATAGTAAAAAATGGCATAAAGTTTATGAGTTACGTCAATATCCCCCAAATCTAGACTACTGCAGTAACACCCAACACCCCACCATAACAGATGCCAGGGCAAGTTTTCCAGAAGGTTCAATGTAATTTGCTGCCTGTGACACTGAGCGGATAGGGGTAAGCAACTAGCGGGTTCAATTACCCAAATTCAACTTCTAAAGACGTATTAGAAAAGTATATAAATAATAATTAGGGCCATTCCTTATAAACAGCTAACAAAGCCATGTTAGACAGACTTAGAGCTCTAACCACTTTCACGTGGATCTGCCTGCAGAGTCCCATTCCTGTTGCACCCAGCGTGCCCCACGCAAAACCCTCTCACCCCACACGTGGATCCCCCCACAGTAACCCCCTCCACACTTGGATCCTGCCTTGCTGAGCCTGCCTGCCCAAACCTGGTGCATGTGGCAGGGCCCTGGGGTGTTTCTGGGGCAGGTCCGGTCCTTGTGCTGTGTCAGGGTTGGGTGCTGAATCCGTGTCCTGGGGGGGAGCTGCACAGTGATCTCCCATCTCTGAGCAGCCAGTGACCTGTGCTCCCCAATGCCATGCTGGAGCCTCCACTTTTATTTGAAAAAGAAAATTTGCAGAATGTTAAAATACTGTGTGCAAAATTTTTAATTTTTTGGCACAGAAATGCCTGCAGGAGTATCCACACCACATCCGCACCCGCACCACACCTGCACCAGTGTCCACAAGGTGAGAATAAAAAGGTTCCCTTGTCATTTTCAACTGCAGTTTGCCTCAGCCAGTAGCAACAGACTCCTGAAGTCTGTAATACTTTACATTTTAAAATAACCTCTTTTAGTGCTAAAAAACAGCACAACCAAAACCAGAGATAGTGTGACTAAACCTAAAACACCCTCCAAAGAGTGGTCAGAAAACAAACGAAAAGATTACTGTGTACAACCTGATACAGAGTACGAAAGCAAACATACATCAAAAACAATCATAACTTGAAAAAACAAGACAACACAGGGCTAAAAATTAAGATCTTTTTATTTCACTAGTTAGCATGATTTTGCTATCATTCTGGAGTGACTTCTGAACAGGAACTGAAGTAAAATCAAAAGTACTTGAAACTTTCTTATACAGGAAAAATTCACTAATCCTGAATGCATCACAGCAAATTGGCTGATTTTATCCATATCAGGTTATATTAACCAGATGTTACATTAAACATGTGATCTTCATGATTCTCCACAACTGTAAATTATGACAGAAGTATAGAGATGAAATAAATTGCAATTGAAGACATGTAGCTCCTTATTAAAAAAAATCACAAATCATTAATGCTGCACAGTTGATTAGCACACTGCACTTAAGTCAATGTTATATAGGTGCATGTAGTATTTTGTAGTTTATTTGCAGTAATCCTTAATGCCTTCTGAACACATCTGTTTGGTAACACATATTTAAGTGTGATTACTCAATTCTGTAACACTTTTAAACATTTTATTGAAGCTACACTTACTTTTAACGGATTGAGCTTTCTATCTGGTCATGCAACAGCTGCTTTTTGGTTTTAACTTGGGGGGGGAGGGGCTAGTGTTCTCTGACATTCTAAAACAGATTATGGACCTAATTGATTTTCAAATAGCAATTTGCTCTTTGAGTAATCCCATTGAAATCAACAGGACCATTTGTGGAGTCAAGTGTACTCACTGTGAGGGTATCAGAATACTGCCTGGCCTTAAAAGAATTTTGTTCTTTCATTTGAACTATATACTACTAACAGCAACAACATACTCCAAGACAGCTGTTATACTGGGTATCCACATTTCTAGGAGGGTTAAAAGGCTTTCACCTGTACATAGAGGCTTGGAAATGTCCTTGCACGTTTCTTCTGACATACACACCTTGGTGAAAGTCCTAAACTGCGCTAAAAGTAATGAAGAAATCAAGGAAGGCCCGAGTATCTCACTTTCCATTTCAAACGCCAACTATTCATGTAGTCGTTGGCGTAGGGTGTGCAGATACAGTAAAGGGCAATGCAGTATTGATGTAACAAAGAGATTCTGGATTCTCTCTCCTTCTGTCTTCTAGGCAAATGGGGGATGAATGCATTACAGAAGAGACACACTTTCAATCTCTAGGAAAGATGATGCAATACCCCCTCCTGCAGAATCTATGGTAGTCTCATAGGATACTCCTTTGGCCAGTGCAGCTGGAGGTATATGGACTGTGCTGTGCAGATAAGAACTGGTGAGGGAGAAAGGAAAAAAAAATCTAGGTAAACAAATATTCCAATAAGAATTCAAGCACAGAACTTACAGGACAGCTAGTTTCTATTTATAAGATAAACAGGCAAGAAGGTTTCTATAGAGCTCTGAAGATGGAAGGCACTATATAAATGGTGAACTTTACTACGACTGTATAGTAGTAGAAGGAGAGTACTCTAAGAGCGGAAATGTCCTGTGAAAAGCACCGCCCTAGTTTAAACTTGGCACCGACAGAGCTCAGGTACAAACACAGCTTACAAGAGTGCTGCAGTCTTGCCACTAAACTTCTGTGTCTGTATGGGCATCGGCAGACAGCAGGAAGCCCAATGCCAGGAGTGAGTAACAGATGGAGGTGAGGGAAGGGCAGGAAATTCTAATAAGCAGCAAATTTGGGCTAATGCATATTTTAAAGTTATTTTTGAAAAAATAAGGTATATTCTCTATGGCTGTAAACACCTCAGAGTGCAAGCTCTCTTCCTGAGCCAGATTCAGAAAGCACTTACTGCCATGGGTGAGCAGTTATTCGGACGAACAGCCCCAGTGAAGCCAATCAGCAGTTTTCAGAATGAATTCAAAACCTGGTCTGCTGTCATAAGGTCATTCGGACACCCAAGCCACTCGGCACTTGCATGATGATGCTGGCCAAAGGAAGCTCTCTCTGGTGTTAGAAGCCACAGAAATAATAACGCAACTGCTGGGATTCGCTCTGACACCATTTCCAGAACCCCTTGTCCAGTTCTGGGAGAACACTTCAGGTTCCTTTATTTGGCATACAGCAAAGCTATGCTGCGTTGACCAGACTCAAGCATAGGGGGTGCGGATAGGGGGTACCACACATCCAAAGTTACACCAAACTCTTCCTTTATATCTATTTACACATCAAATTGCATTTGCAATTCTTTACACCACACATTTTTGGATTGGATTGGTTACTTGCAGGAACCAATCCCTGTACAACATGCTCCGTCCATGTGCTGTTCACATGTTACATTCTGTGTTTATCTTGCCCATAGTCCCTAGCATCCAGGTGTTGCTGCTTATCTTAGCTAGCACAGGCATCCTCACTCCAACATACAGTTTGTCAAGCCTCTATTTACAACTTAACCTTCCATTCACCTTCTCAATTATGCCCACTAAGAAATGAGGCAAGTTACTTATGTCAAGCCAGGCCTACACCAACACCAAATGAAGGCTAGCAATAGATAAAATCACACAAAACGCTCATTTGCTATATGAAATTAGTCAGCACTATGTTTTCACTGCTTCTATTGCTGCACTGACAGCAAAATACAAGGGTTACAGCTGTGGCAGACTTTCTCTGCCTCAAGCTGACCTGTTCCGTCTTAGCAGAGAGGAAGGACCAAGCATTCAATTGCAATTGAACAACTACTTAATACTAACAAAAATCAAACAAAGGCCTGAAGGCCCGAAGTCCAAAGGAAGAAACCGCTAGTTCTTGCCACGCAAGAGAGGTGCTCCGACTGACCACCCCGGGCGGTAAGAAGGAACTGAGAGGGCGTGGGCCAGCGGTGGCTGATATACTGCAGTGTGAGTGCAGCACGCTGGAGGGCACCACAGCTGGCCCTATGGGTACCGACGGCTGCGAACATGGGCGCGCGCACCTAGAATGGAATCGACACGAGCAAGCACTCGGAGTAGAAACCTTGTTACTGTGCCCATTCCCAGTGCTTGATTTTCTCCCAGGAGATTAGATAATGTGGTAGATTGATACTTACAGAAAGTAGGGATACTTGGTACCCATGAACACGGGGACTGTTATACCCAGAGGTGGGGAGGGTATCCAGGACAGAGGGAATATGGGGTTTCCACACTCTGTCCCTCTCAGACATTCCTTTGGGAAAAAGCCAGCCTCAACCTTTACCAGAGGCCTCATGAAAACAGGCTGCTCAGGGAATGTCAGGGGATTCTCCATCTCCCTTGACCTACTCTGGTCCACTGTCCCGATGAAGAGACAACTGCTGACTCCTTGTTCTGCCACAACATCCCTTGGGCTGACTTTCTGCTGCAAGTGGCCCCCGTGTGACAGAAGGCAGCACAGATCCTGGAAATGATTCTAGCCCAGTTTACTTGGAAGGCTGGTGTAGGCCCAACACCCTATTCCAAAAACATTAAAAAACCTGCAGTACTTTGTGAAGTTCATCGTAATGCTTTGCTGCCAAGGGAACGTGGCTATCGCTTTCCTCCTGAAATACTGCCAAGAGCACAGCCAGGCTTTGGAACCTTCGCTGTGGAATTTAGATCACAAGAATCTAATTAAAACATAGCCAACCCCAAATAATCCCTCTCCCTTCTGCTCCCCATCTCTTTATGAAATGAAACTCTCTCTCATGCCATTCTATTTCTGAATGCCAAATAAGCAGCTTAATTGATCAGAGCGCTGTATCTCACCACCCAGAAATCACCGGCAACTGGCCTCTCATGTGATACATAAGTGAGAAGAATGGCAAATTCCAGAGAGAAAAAGGTTTGGGCAAAGACATATTTAGAGCTACAATTAATTTTTTATTAAGGAGCATTTTACTCATAAACCTCCCACCGCCCCACAGGATTACAGAACAAAATAATGTGTTTTGTCTTGGAAGAAGAGCAGTTTTAAAGCTACTGTCCCTGCATGAAGGATCATCTCCAGCCCATGTTCTAAGCAGCCACTTTAACAATCTCCCCAAGATTTTACCATAATTTTTGTTCAACGTTTCATTAAAGGCCCACCTCTACTAAGCAACTGAGTTTTACTATTCCTTTGGATGGCTCCTTACAACAAAAATAGGATGTTTTTAACGGTGACGATTGTAGGTGAACCAACAGGTCATAAGTATGGACATGACAGCAGTGTTGCCATTGAGAACGGCTACTTTATTCTCAGAACAGCACCAGCATAACTTCATTTATCTATCCGCCATTCAACTGAAACCACTCTGATCTGAAGCTTTGATGAGAACTGCTTTCGCATTCCCTCTTCTAGTTAGATGAATCCCCATTTTTGCTGATGCTCCCCCCAAAACTTTGAGGAGAAATGGGCTTGTACTTTATCAGCTAGTCAGTTCAATGCATGGATCTCTCACAGCACAGGGAAAGTGGGGAACTCCTCATGTAGCTTCTAACCACCTGATAAGCCTTAACAGAGGAGGCTGGTTGAGAAAGGCTGTTTGATAAACAAAACATGCAACCCCTCCCCCCTAAGAGAGCTACAAATTAAAGTTAATAGTTAACGTAACATACCGTGCTGCCAAGAAGGACAAGAACAGTATAAGGCAGACAGCAGTGACTGACCCTAATCCAGCAAGAGTCATATGTTGCAGAGCGGGTGATAAATCTGAAAGGAAAACATCCAACAGTTCAAGAAAACAAATACCAAAAATGGTCCACGGTGCAGCACAGTCTTGCGATTCACTGCCTAAATCAAAGTTAAACTCTTACTCTGGATTTATTGCTCCATCAAGCAGTAATTGAGCTGAACATCCAATGGCCAGCAGCCAGCTGAAGAAATGAGATTAATGGTATATTTCTCAAAAGAGATTACATTTTCCTGTCTATTGCTTTCCTGCTCTCCACCTCCCCCTTTTTTTTTACTTTTGACAGTCAAAGTAAATCAAGATCCTTTTCCTCTAACACCATCATGTGTTTCAGTCAAAGTTATAAGACAAGGGTGTCTCTGGTGCTACTAACCAATCCGTCATCAAATGGCTCAACTCCTCTCCTCCAAATTCTTGCAATCTGGGTACTATTTCCTTTTTTAGGATGGTATCTACAGCAATATGAACACCACGGAATCACACCTGGGGAGAACAGACTGCTGTAGCACATGAACAAATCCCTCAAATACACCTCTACCCCAATATAACGCAACCCGATATAACATGAATTCGGATATAACGCGGTAAAGCAGCGCTTCGGGGGAGGGGGCAGGGCTGCGCACTCTGGCGGATCAAAGCAAGTTCGATATAATGCGGTTTCACCTATAACGCGGTAAGATTTTTTGGCTCCTGAGGACAGCGTTATATCGGGGTAGAGGTGTATTTGTGTTAATGGGAACTGAGAGAGGGGGGTAAACTAAAAATGGCACCTGCCTGAGGAGGAGGAGAAGAATGAATAACCTGCATATAAATACATAATGACTGAGCCCCGAAGTTTTCAATCAGGATAAGAGCAAGCCATTTCCCCATCATGGTATTTCAAAAGAAATAAGTGTGAAGGAGCTATCATTTGTTACCAAACTTTTCAAGAGTCAACTCTATCAAAATGATGCAAATAACTCTTTGCTCTGACTGCATGAGTCACTTCTTATTTTCTACACATGCACAAGAAACAACATGCGCCTGTGTGACTGCAAGATCAGGGTCTGCAGTCATAGTGCTTCCTTGTAGTCACGGAAAATGACTACCCGTGATCATTTCAGAATCAGGGTTTTAAGATCTTACGTGCAGTATTTGATCAGCCTCTGTACATGTTCAATTTTGGTCAGAACTTAAAAAAATACATACACCTTTACTTCATCACAAAACCAGTTTTCATATATAAAAAAATCAAATATCCAGGAACAGACTAACACGACAAAAAAAAAAAGGACTTTTCACCCCTGTGTATTACTATATTTTAGTTAAAATCACTACATTCTGATTTTATTCAGACCGCTCTTAATTATAAGGCTGGAAGCCTATTTCCATCACTACTCTAGCACTCCTTATTACAGCAATTTAATGGATTATAATCAAAGCCTCACTAGAAGGCCTCTGCCACAGAGAAATCTGGTCTAAATAGCCATGGTTGTATTGAATGTCTAGATCTTCCTCTGTTTTGCAAGTGGAATGAAGAAGCACTCCTTAAGGAACTCAGCCTCTCAAAAATTCTCACAGCCTTTCCAGTTGTACAAGTCCCATAAGGCCATGGATACTGGTTGACTGGAAGACTGGCCTATCTAGGGGGAAGTGGAGACAGAATGGAAAGACAAGCCCCATTCCCGCACCCATCTTCCAGTTCTCCTTTGCCCCCTCCCAAAGAGAAAAATCCAGCTGCACGCTAGAGGGTTGTAGCGATATTCTAGGGGTGGACAGAAGACAGAGATATGAGAAAGGGGAAGTTTTCTGTGGCTGCATAGTTATTTTTAGTATTGAGCAGGAACCAGATTTCCATGTCATGGGAAAGTCCACAATTTCAAAACACTATCCCCGTTCTGAAATAGTAGAAAAACAAGCCATTTTGAAATTTCCCATGAAACATAATTTTAAAAAAAAATTAGTTTCGGTAGCAACATTTTGTTTTGATCAAACCAAAACATTTTCGTCTGATTTCAACCTTTTAAGAATTAATATTTTAATGTAAAAATCAATTAATTTAGTTTCAAAAAGTTGTTTAGCAACAAAAAAATAGAAACATTCCATTCAAAAAATGTCAAAAACCAGGACGTTTCAATGTTGCTGAAACACTTCATTTCAGGTTTTTTCCCCTAAACAAAATGTTATCAAAACCAGACACGTTTTTCTACACATTTTGATGAATGCAGCATTTTTCATCAAAAAACCCTTTTGGTGCAAAAGTTTCTACTAGCGCTAGTTATTTTGCAGCTCTTACCAACAGGAAAAATACTCTCTAGAAAAACAGGCAGCCTCCACAGCTGCCAAATCCCTGAAGCTGGCCGAGTTTCTGAGAGCCAGAACTGCAGAGGCTATTGTTGGCCTGCAGAGGATCTTAAGTGTGGCAAGAAAGAATTCCTTCAATTCATGGGAGAAAAGGTAAGTGTGTCCAAGGAAAAAACAAACAAACATGTGATGCTCCTGAAAATACAGTATGTTTAGAAATAGAATCATTGGGAAGGGGCCTGACTGAGGAAGAAAATGGAAATTTTATCCTGTCTGAAAATTGGGTTTTAGCAATGTCACTCCAGCAATCGGGTGGTTCCAGGCACCAGCGCACCAAGCGCGTGCCTGGGGCGGCAAGCCTGCGGGAGGTCCGCCAGTCCTGCGGCTTCAGCGGCAATTCAGCAGAGGGTACGCCGAAGGCGCGGGACCGGCAGACCTCCCGCAGGCATACCACCGAATTGGCATTACCAGCGGACCTCCCGCAGGCATGCCGCCGAAGGCTGCCTCACTGCCGTGCTTGGGGTGGCAAAATACATAGAGCCGCCCCTGCCAGCAATGAATGAAGAGCTCTGTGTAAGCTCAAAAGCTTCTCTCTCACCAGCAGAAGTTGGTCCAATAAAAGATATTCCCTCACCCACTTTGTCTCTCTAATCTCCGGGGACCAACATGGCTACAACACCACTTCATTCTCCAGCAATAATTCTGTCTTACTAGGTACTGACAGATCAAAACCACCAGTCAGAATTTTTGGGATATTTCTGACTCTTAGGCTACATCTACACTACAGGGGGGAGTCGATTTAAGATACGCAAATTCAGCTACGTGAATAGCGTAGCTGAATTCGACGTATCGCAGCCGACTTACCCCGCTGTGAGGACGGCGGCAAAATCGACCTCCGCGGCTTCCCGTCGACGGTGCTTACTCCCACCTCCGCTGGTGGAGTAAGAGCGTCGATTCGGGGATCGATTGTCGCATCCCCACGGGACGCGATAAATCGATCCCCGAGAGGTAGATTTCTACCCGCCGATTCAGGCGGGTAGTGTAGACCCAGCCTTAGATTCTACTCTGCATCAGGCATAAAAGCTTTCATACTTCACAAAATGTAGTTTTCCCATGGATAACGTACACCAGAGAAGAATAAAAGTTCCAGAGCTTTAGTGACTCATTTAGTTAAATAATTTGCATTAAAATTCCCTGATTAATCTTCTACCAAAAAGGCAAGTGAGGATGTTGGTCTAAGTTACGCAATTTCAGAGCGAGAGAAGGAAGAAACAAGTTGGCTTTGCTTTTCTGAATTCCTTTTACCCAAAGAGATTTCTTGTTTGGAGAATCCAGAGACAAGTATTCTTTCATTTTCTTTGCCTTTCTCCTATCAACACTGGCTGCTTGAGATGCAACAGACAAGAAACAGCTATATTATCAATTAGCTGGAGGAGGAGGCCAGAATCTCCTCAGGGCAGAGACTGCTTGTACAGGCACTCAAATAACAGGTGATGCCAGTCACCATCTCTCTGTAGCACTTACTACTAGCCTGCCCTTTCATTCCCGGGAGATAGCACTGAGGATAATTTCCTTGTTTCATGCTTTAAAGCAAACTGGAGAAACAGGTCAGTTCTCCAGTAACTGCACTGGAGAAACAGTAATTGAAGGGTTCAGACATTTTGATGAACAGAAAATACACTTTTTATGTTACTAGTTTGGTGTTTTCATTTTCACCAGTTTGCTCAATGCACTAATATTGCCCATCATAGCACACCTGTATAACTGCTGAGAATTCCAGCAATGTTCTCCCCATCTATTGGCCTCAGTGGAATGTCAGTAGGTTGGAGGAATACAGCAGCTGGAGCAGGCCCATTTGTAAATGTTTATGGCCTGTCACGACCCAGTAAATAGTCTGAGGGTGAAGGCCCTGGGGTGGTTTTGGTTGGGCCCTGCCTCCACCCCCCTCCCCCCACCAGCTGGCTGGGCTTGGCTCTCTGCTCCAGGCGTTGCAACCCGCCCCCCTGACTGGACCAAATTTGTGAGAGTGGAGTTGTGACCTGGCTCATGGGGTTGCAGGGCCACTCACTCAAATTTGGCCTACTTGGACTCCCATCATCATTCTGGCTGAGTCAAACCTGAGTGGCGCCAGGACCCCAGAGTTTGCAGTGCCTGGAGAAGGGAGGTGAGCCAAGCCAGCCCTGTGGGACAGGAGCTGCTACACGACCCGGTGAAACATTCTGGCGACCCAATTTTGGGTCCCAACCCAGAAGTGGAGAAACCCTGATCTAACCTTTGTAACGCTCCACTGGACTTCATTGCTAGCAGGGAATTAAACAAAAGCCACGGAAAATGTTAGTTTTATGCCAAGATATAGCCAGACAATGCAATGACAACTTTTGTTTTCTCATTAGATGAAAAACCGCCTTACCTTCAATTTGTGCCCAAACTGCACAAGATTGTGTCCTCATCTGGAAAGAAAAACATAACCAATGTCACTATTTTCCCAGGATATGTATTAAATAACAAGTCTACACCAACCGCAAAGGCATTCAGACAAGAAACATTAAAATGTATTACAGGGGGAATGGATTCCTATGTTTTTGCTAGATCACCAAGCTTTCCTGAGAAGGCTATAGGCTATAAAGACCAGTTTAAAGAGAAAACTTTGAGGAAAGTCTAGCTCTCATCTTTCGGATAGAAAAGAACAGATATCTAAAAACCCTACATGACGAGGGCTATAAAGTTGCATGGTTAAGCGTTCAAAAAGTTAGGAAATACCAAAGTTAAGGTTGCACATGCAGTCTTAACTCTGCCCCCTATTCACATATACAGATTCCTATACAGTGATTAATTACATGGTCACTCACTGTGTCGCGAATAATATATTACACAATGTTTTCTCCACCCTTGAATACACATTTAGCACCTTATAATTTTAAAGAAACTTTAATACAGTACTTACAGTAATTTAATTTTCATAATGATCCAAAATATTGTTAGGGACAGACTTTCTATAAAATCTTGTTTAATCAGTTTTCCTCTCTCTTTTGATGTGCTCTCTTCTCTATTTTCTTTTTCTGTATCTCACACCCTCAAACAGACATATGAATTTTAAGTACAGTACTACTCTATGGTGTATACTTAATATGAAGTGTGTTATGTACTTTACATATAAATGACTTACATGCACTCTGGTATTTAAATATATTTTATTGAAGGTTTTAGACAAAAAAGTATACCTCTACCTTGATATAACGTGACCCGATATAACATGAATTCGGATATAACGCAGTAAAGCAGTGCTCTGGGCGGGCGGGGCTGCACACTCCAGTGGATCAAAGCAAGTTCGATATAATACGGTTTCACCTATAACGCGGTAAGATTTTTTGGCTCACGAGGACAGCGTTATATCAAGGTAGAGGTGTATACTATTGCAGTGGATAAATAGTATGTAATCATGTAATTAAAGACTAAGGCGTGGTCTATACTGGGGGTGGGGGGAACATGAGCTAAATCGGTCTAAGTTACGCAACTTCAGCTATGAAAATAGCGTAGTTGATGTATTTAGAGCTACTTACTACAGTGTCTTTACTGTGGTAGATTGACTGCTGACACTCCCCCATCGACTCCGCCTATGCTTCTCGCTCCGGTGGAGTACCGGAGTCGACGGGAGAGTGCTCGGTGGTCAATTTATCGCTTCACTAGTCTTCACTAGACATGATAAATCGACCCCCGCTGGATCGATCGCTCCAGAGGTAAGTGTAGAGATGCCCTAAGTCATGATGGATCTGCACAAAGGGACAATCTTCATTTGGGGCTTTATTTTGAGCTTCTATACAACCTCAATAATATTTAATATAGTTTTTGCTATGGGATTTTCTAGCTGTTTAAAAGGATAAAAGATAGGGTACAGAATGAACAAAAACAGACCGGCAGGCCTTCACTCTGTATGAGGCAACCTCCCCTAATACCACGCACCTAACAAGGTCCCCTGGGATTGAGCCAAGAGATCCTAATGGAGTCCTTGCTTCAGCCTACCTACTGCCATTTTCACTATGTAGACAAGTTAGTCATGCACCCATAGACAGTATAGCCTTCCGCAGCAGTGCACTTTCCAAGTTTAGGAGAGAAAACACAAGCAATCTACTGCACATGTGTGCGCAACATGAATTTTTCAAGACCAGTTGTCAGAACAGTTAAAGGCATTTTCCCCTCAATTGGGGTTCCTTATATTCCAAATTTCAACTTTCTATCCCTAGACGTTTCAATGCCTGTACTAAACACTACAAAATCCTCTCACTGGAATACCAAATTTACCTCCATCCCTCGCAGACTTACTGTTGCTTTTATTACATATTCACTCCACAAATGCTGAATGATGAAATGGGAGTTGTAGAAGGTTTTATTTATGCTAAAGAAATGAATCCCACATCATTTTAAGCTCCAAGCACTATTATTTTTTCAGTGTCTTTCATTCTGGGCCTTGGCAGGTTGAGAGGTATGGAATCCATAAAGCAATCAGTGGAGACTGAAACAGGCACCAGATGGGTTGGAGCTAATTAAATAACACCACTCTCTCACTGAGAAGGACACATCCAGAGATGGACAATTTGTTCTGCTTAATGGAGGTTTTCATGAAAGCTACCGATTGCCTGACACTATCTCCCAAGCCCCATCTCTCTCCAGAATTCCCACTTGTCACCTGCCAAATTCATCATTAGGAAAAATGATACTCTTCCATTATCTCCGCTTTTCTAGCTTCTTCCCTGATGCTCTCCAAGCATTCCCTGTTGGAGAGGATCAGGCGGCATGACATTTGGCTAGCGTAAGTGGATGTCCCTCACATTTCCCTCAGTCTTTCACATTTCACTCAGCTTGGACTGGTGCATAGGTTGCAATTTTATTAAAAGCCCTTTTCATTTTCTGGTTCTCATGTACAATGCTATGGGGCGTGGGTTTCCAAAACTGTAGGAGAATATTTAAAGGTGACCTGCAAAAGGAAAAGAATGGGATTGTGCCCTTTTTGGTTACTTTATGATGTATAAAGAAGACATGAAAGTTCTGTTTTTTGAAATTTCAGGTCCTGTATTACCCGGCATACTCTATGGCCTGGTCTACACTAGAAAAATTAACCATTGCGGACATCCGTTGTCAGGAACGAGTAATTTGTCTAGTGTAGCCCAGATGTATGATGCAGAAATGATGACTTCACAAGAATAATAATGTGCAAGTTGAGCAATTTAGGAATTTAGTCACATTATTTAAAATTCTTTGGTCTGGTGTTTCCTAATAACTATTTAATATAAAATGAGCGCTGTACTCTTTGTATTCTGTGTTGTAATTGAAATAAATATATTTGAAAATGTAGAAAAAACATCCAAAATAGTTATAATAAATGTCAATTGGTATTTTATTATTGTTTAACACTGCGATTAAAACTGCAATTAATTTTTAAAAAAATTAATCACGAGATTTAAAATCACTTGACAGCCTGTAGCGGGGTGGTTACCTGCTCCGGCCCGGGCAGGGTTAAGGCCAGCCCTGGGAGAGGCCTGGGGCTGTAAGGAAAAGCCCAGGCTGCTTGGGAAAGCAGGCACTGCTGGGGCCATGCCCCAAACAGAGCACAGCAGGTCCTTATAAAAGGGCTGACTGGCAGTAGCCACTGGCTGAGGCAAGGTGGGATTAGGGGGTTGGGGTCCCTGGGGAGGGGAGACCCTGAGAGTGAGGGGTTACTGCCAGAGGGCAGCACCCCAGATAACGGGGGACCGAGGTCCGGGAGGGACACGGGGGCCCAGCGGCAGCAAGACGTTGGCCTGCAGAGAGCGCTCCAAGGCTGGAAAAAGAGCTAATTCCCAGGACACCAGCAGGAAGTGCCGCAGGGGTAAGTCTCACGCCGTTACACAGCCCTATTTAACGTCAATGACTAAAAAGGCTTCCTTCTCCTCAAATGTTGAAAATTCAACAACCCTGCCCCTTCAATAAAGGTATTAGTGTCAATATACGCTCTTCCAATAAGTCTTCCCGCAAAACCAGGGGTGCCCAGAGTTGACATTCCCTGTTATTTATAAAGCTAAAATGCAAGTAAAACGAAAAACTCCATTAAAGAAAGTCTGGTCATCTTGTAGCATCACTTGGAAGAACAGAATACCTTAGAGTAAAAGCACTTGATTCAAAAGAAAGAATCATATGTTACTGTTGAGTGACTTTTAGATACTAACACTCCCTAAGGCTAAATTATGGCCTCTGTAAATTATAGGCACCTGTAATTACCTATGAATCAGTGGGATTTGTGTACCCATCCCTGAAGGCAGAAGTTGGCACTAAATCCCTAATCCTTTCCTTTGTTTATATTTCAGCATCCAGAATCACTTCTGCATTACAATGGTGAAGAGATCTGCAAGCAATTAAAATGGCTACTTCAGGGTTTTATATCATCAACTTCTTGTCCCTGACAATATCATCAAAACAGAACAAAAAGCTAAAAATTTTCCCTGGTTTTCCAATTAAAACTTCTTTCATTCAACAAAGACTCAGAGAAAAGTTTATTTAAAATACCCATTACCTTATTCCATTGGCTTATAATTCTCAGTACCACACAGTAATCTTTCCCCTGCTTTAAGGGAGCATTATAGAATGCCCCATAGTAATGTCTGTCTCCAAGAGAGATCAGCATGTTGTCAGCAACATCCTTGGCGAGGAATTCAGCTGCCACATACCCCTCAGCATCAGTGGCATTGCTAAAGAAAGTCACAGCAGCTAGGGAATCACAAGTAAATGTGCTTTGCAAGGCCAAGGGAAGCACAATCACTTGATAAAAACTAGAATGAAACAGAAAAGCAGCCATCAGCATTCATTTCCATGCATTAAACACCAGAGAGAAATCATATTTGCATTTAGTCTTTCAAATATTTTGGCCCTTTGTTTAATAGTTTTCAAATCACTAACATCCCGGGTGAACTCTTTCCATGTGTGGGTGAAATATTTCCCTTTATATACATGCTATTTATTGCCCTCTGTATAAAACAGACTATATATGCCTATCATAAGGCTAATTTTCCAAATTGCACACACAGATTTAACGTGATTGGGCATGCTTATTTAGTATTTTCGTATGAGAATTGCCAACTATGAATCACTACAAACTGCCTGTTTGCTCAATTCATCCAACACACAACTTTCTCCTTGTAGCCAAAGCGGAGCTGAAAGACATTATCAACCTATTAAAACCTATTTGTTCCTGATTTCCCAGAAAGATGCTCTTTCCAGTATCAAGAAGGTGACGAGAGCTCCCATCTATTCGACTTTAATTAGAAACTTGTCCCTCGAGTTCACTAAAAGTTCAGAGTATGATGTCCTCCCACAAAAAAGAGCAACTCTCAGAGTACATGCACTGTTCTGTTGTTATACGGTCCTTTGGCTCCTGCACTATGTTTTCACTTCCAAATATTTCCTGCCTTACTATAACGTGAGTTACAGTAACTCGTTTCTCTCATTTCCCAGGCACTTACCAACATACGTCAGCAGAGTTAAAACTCCCTACTCCAAAGAGTATTTATCATTTTGGTACCAGTAAATTAATATGGTGTTGCTGTTTACCAGGATTTGAAGAATAGACCTTCTTTCTTAATTTCCTATTGGCTACTAGAGAATTTCCTGCAAGCTGTATAATGTGGTTTACACACAACAATTATAAACTGCTCTTAGTTACACCAATGAATATCTAGTGTAGCTCCACTGAGCCAATGGAGTTACACCAGCATAAATTCAGAGTAATTGAGGACAGAATTGTGGTCCAAAAAGGAGAAGTTAACCTGAAGCAAAACTCCAGATCTGAACAATCACAAATTACAGTGAAGATGGGACCTGGCTTCAAACTTTCTGGTTTGGTCCCATTGCTAATAAAATTATCTAATTGAAGACAGTCTAAAATATACAAACATCTAAATGATCAGTACTTAAAAAATATATTTTGAGAGAGTCGGGAGCATGTAAAAAAACAAAAAACCCACAGACCTGATAGGTCCGTTTCTATCTTCTGCTTTTCGTAGGCTGAGTGCTGGTGCAGGACCTTGTACGGTAACAAACTCTATTTCTGGGAATGGAGGATCTAAAAAGCAAACAGAATCAGTACTTTAGAAAAGTTTGAGGAATAATCCAAGTCTGAGGGCAGTAAGCTTTTTCTCATACAGCACAGTAACCAAAATGCTAACCCTAAAAGCTAGAGCTGTGCTTTAGATTCAAATCTGAATACAAAATACTTTAAAATGTACAGACAACGTTTTTGGTTAACAAATATTGGAGATGATTTTTATTTTGATTGAACTGCATATCAGCAGACTCAACCTGAGAAAACAAATATACGAGATTTGAACCTTACTTCTTGTAGACCTTGAATACCTCAGTCAAATATTTTAAGCTGTCATCGGAGACTTTCAGCAAGTACTTCCCTGAACTTACAAGAGCCCCCTCAACTGGAGAACTCAAAGGTAGGAAAATAAATTCTGTTGCAGTAGCTTTCTTTGATTCCTATTTTATACCCTCCCTTCCTTTGACATCCAGCACAGTCAAGAGAAGCTTTAATTCAGGATTATTTTTTTTTTAATCCTCGCCAAAGTGCACAAGGCCTAAAATGTCTAACCGACCTGAGCTTTGTATTGAATTTCAGACAGGCAGTGTAAAGAGAAAAACAGCTTTAGGGCACCAACCAGTAACTACCCAGGCCTAGCAAGCAACAAGTCCCTTTAAAGTTTGGAGTCTTTGCCACATTGGGTAACTGGTCAGAAATACAAGCTGTTAAAACTTTAAGCACATCTAAGTCTCTCCAGACTGCCCTGACAAGACGTAAAGCAGCAACAATCCAAAATTTTAAAATTGGTTTAATTCTCACCCCAGGAAACAGGAGGACTTTATGAGGAAGTTCTTCCATGTGCAGTATTTGACATTAAGAAAAATGCATGTTGCCAGAACGTTAATGTGTGCCAAAAATCAGTCAACTACCAGGCCTGCAGAACATCAAAATTTAACAATCCCCGGGGGAAAAATAAAGCCTTCCGACCACCTCCATGAAGTCAGAAACAATGGCAGCACCTAATGCAGGGCAGCCATTGTGTGGGAAAATTCCTGATCAAGAGTGAAAAGCTGCAGCCCCAAATTCAGTGGCTTGCCATTAACATCTACCCCTCTTGGTCTTCAGGTAAATTACTATAAAAACATTCTATCAGGATTACAGGCCACCAGCTTGAAGCAGCATCCTTCAAACTTCACAGTGACACAAACCTAAAAGTGCCAGTATTCACCCCTATCTTCAACCAAACCCCGCTCCAAATACCCCTCTCAGAATCAGTGCTGGTAGGCCAGGAATTTGGCAATTCACCATGAGTTTCATTTTTATGGCAAGAATATTTGAGCTGGGTCACAGTGTTAGCTGGAAGCCAAAACACAGCAGAAAGCACATGTAATAGCATTGCAAGTGAAATAGGAAAACAGCACAGATATTGAGGCTATATCTCCTGGAAATGACAAGATGGGGCACTTGTTCACATCACGTTCAATGGTTTGGAAGACTCCGCATTCGCACTGCGGCAAATCCTTGATTCTCCATTTGTGCATCATGTGAACACATCTTCTGTGTAATGTCCTAATATGGTTGATGGTCATCCACTGTCTTTGGCAGAGCAAGAAACCAGGTCGTTCGACAGTGCTATCATGTACAAGATGCTTGTTGTTTATGTCAGAGCCAGCCCATTGCATCTGCCAGGGGTTTTCTGAGTTGAAGCTGGATGACAGAAGAGCTTCTCCAACCACCCAGAATGGCCAGCAGGACTTAAGGCAAGCGTGAGGTGGATGAACAAAGAACTTTGGATGAGCAAGAACTTTCTTGTACTCGTGCAACATAGCCATCTCTCACCAGATGGTTGGAGAAAGGACTTTGCGAGGACTGGAATCTAAGGCAGTGGCATGGTCTTCAGGGTGCCACTTACAAGTCTCAGAGCCACATTTAATTGGATGTTGATCCGGTCTGTGTGCGAGATTCTTCCCCAAACCGGTGCGTAGAACTCGGCCATGGAAAAAACTAAAGCCAGCGTTGCCGTCCATACCATTTGAGCAACACAACCCCAGCTCAAACTTGCTAGCTCTTGGATGATATTGATGCAACTCACTTGTTTGTTATCAAGCAGATGTTTTTAAAAAATCAGGCCATTCCTGTGAGAAACATTAAGATTCCTAATTTACTTGTCCCTGTTTTAAATCTCAGAGGCCTCTGACTTTTTACAGTCGCAGTTTACAACGGAAGCCTTAGGACTGCACAGACTAATCACTACACATGTGATGAACAGTGTCACTTTCATTATACTATCAAATCTTGATAGTAGGAATCTTTAAGGTCTTTCTGATTAGCTGAGCTTCTGCACTCCACCAATACTATATGACTAGGACAGCACTGAAATTTACTTTACTATACATACTACAGTCAGAATGACTCCATTTAAAAGGATAGTATTTTCTTTGTGGCTCATTTTAAATATGTCTCTATTTAAAATGAACATATGCTTATGGCTAGTTAATCATTTGGCTTACCACCCTTTTAGAAATCCTTCATTTGCACTAGAGCAGTCCTGTTTGGGTTTCTCTGCTTTTCTAGATGCCATTCTCTGCTGCTGATAATGCTTTAAAAATAGTGATGCAACTGAGCCACAAGGTTTGCATCCAGATGGTATCTTTCCTCAAGTTCAAGGAAGTCAAATCAAGGGTTCTCGTTCAGGCCCCGCTATAACTGAAAACAATTCTCTGCTGAAATAATGCCATTTGCATAACTGACATTTCTTGCAAACACATTGTTTTAAGGATTTTATGGTTGTTTGGGGATTTTGATTTAAAAAAATCTTTTATTATATTTTCACATTTAAAATAAAGAAATGGAATAAGTACTAATGGTATAAGTGAGGGTTATGTAGCAGTACTGATTAAATAGCACTGGTTATGAGGAGAGACTATAAGTACAACGTATGAAACAACATGTATGTTATGCTGAAAGGCAAAGAATTTTTAACCTGAAGAAAACCACTATCACAGAATCTTCTGAGGAGATGACCAAAAGAGCCCACTAGAAAAGAGAAAAAATGAATTTAAAAAGGTCACTTAAGACAAATATATTGATTTTTAATAACAATATAATGGGAGAGGGCCCTTTTCTGTGTTTTTAACACCACCTCATGGAATGTTAATTTTGGGGGTGGGGGGTGAAGGGAGTGGTGTCATTAACTATATTCTGTTTGCTTCCTTTTTGCATTTCACTCAGTTGCATCAGTGAAAATTAAACTGGCTGGTTCCACTTTATTGTTATTACTTATTTGTATTGTAGTAGAGACCAGAGGCTAGGACTCCATTGTTATGTTTGTACAATACCTATCACAGAGACCCAAAGAGCTTACAGTCTATACACGTGAGACAAGAGAGAAAAGGTGGATAGAGAGAGAGACAGATGAGGGAGCACAAGTAACTAATGAGACATTACTGGTCAGCATGAAAAGCAGTGGTCTCAGAGCCTAGCTGCCTAACCATTTATTTGTAGGCATCATGACAGAGAAGAGTTTAAATATGGATTTGAAGGAGAACAACAAGGTGGCTTTGCAAATGTTTATAGAGAGCTTCTCCCACGAGTGAGGGGGGAAAAACAAAGTGGTTTGTTGCAAATTATTTTAAAATTGGCAATCAAGACTGGAAATCATTTGCAGAACAAATGCAGGGGTCCCATGTGCGAAATGCTCGGTAAGGCGGGGTTAGGCTGTGGAGGCCTTAAAAGTGAAGACAAGTAGTTTGTGTCTGATGCAGACAAGGAGGTGAAGCTGGTGGAGAGGTGCAAAGAGGGAAGAGATGGGATCAATGTCACAAGTCAGGAAAATGCTCCTGGCAGCAGAATTTGAAGCAAGATGGAATTTGTCAAGGCCAGAGAGGAGACCATTGGAGCAGTTGAGACATGAAAGATAAGGGCCTGGATGAGAGTTTTAGTTGTACAGACAGAGAGGAAAGGCCATATCTTAAGAGATGTTATGCAGGAAGAAATGCGAAGATTTAGATGTGGCCTGGATGTGGAGATCTAGAAAGGGCCAAGTCAAAGAAAATGCCCAGGCTTTGGGCCTGGCCAAAAGGGAGGAAGGTGGTGGTATCCTGGAAGACTGGGGGGAATGATTAGGAGTTCTGTTTTGGCCAGGTTGCATTTAAGATGAAGGTTGGTCTATGGGAAGATGTCAGAAAACTAAACTGAGATTTTGGTTTGGCCAGGAGGAGACAGGTCAGGCGTGCAGAAGTAAATCTGCAAGTTATCAGCATAACGATGACAGCTGGAGTCGTATTTGTCAATGCGACTGCCCAGAGACAGGATGCAGAAAGAGAAATGGAAGGGGCCAAAACAGAGACCTGTAGAAACCCACAACACACTAAAAGGAGATTAAGTTTATACACGGAGGAAGGATTTCACACACAACCTCTCAGACAATAGCACTGGGCTAGTTTATGGCACCGATCCTGTCAACAGTTATGCATGTGCTTAAATTTTATTCATTCAAGCAGTCCCATGAGCTTCAATAGGACTACTCACATATTTAAAGTTAAATACATCACACATAAATGTTTGCAGGATTGGAGACTAAATTCCTGTCACATAAAAACACATATTTATATTACTGGTTGTCATCAATCCCCCTGCCTGCTTCACTGAAACAGAAAATCATTTCTCTGTAATTCTTGTTTTCTAAGAGGTATACGTTGTAACTCATCACCCCCTGGGAGGTCTGTCATGATAGCACAAATAGCAGGGAATATCCACAGTAAATCCACATGTTTCCTACAGTCCCTTCCTCCCTCAGTGGAAGGCAGAAATTTTTAACATTTGAAAAAAGAAAAATAAATTAAAGATCCCCCAACCATGAGGGCAGTTGGGTGAGTTAGCCTGACTCTAATCCTACTTGCACACGAGCAGAACAATGGTAAGCTGTTTTCTTTCCCCCTAAGGTTACGGAATTCCATTTGGGATGCAATGTGTGAGAAAACCCTAGAATGAGAGGGGCACCACAAAACTATTCATGGAGGAAACATAATGCTGTGGAATTCATTCCTTTAGGGCAAATACCTCTTTCTAGACCTTCAGTTTCACGATTATTCATTTCTGATGTAAATAATTTTTAAGAAGAAGAGTGAGGGGTCACTATATTTGTGTGCCAGAGAGGCATCTGAGAGGTCTGAGGACTCAAAAGCTCCTGCAATATCTTTATCCAAACCCTGTAACTGGTATATACAAATACCTGTAGCAAGTAACAATAAGCAGACTGTAACGTAGGAACATACCCTGACTCACTGCAATTTTCTATTTTTCTTTTTTTTAAAGAGGTTATGTGTGGGGGAGAAAACATTGGAAGAGGTTACAGAACCCAATATGCATGTTTTCATT